TAGACGAGGGGAGAAGAAGTGGCTAAGGTCCCTCTTTATGTTTACATCCCGGTAGAGGAGAGAAGTTGGTTAAAGAGGACGTTGACCAGAATACATAAGCAGACATATGATGCGCAATTAATTCAGAGAACCCTACACAATGATGGCATTAATGATAGCGTTGTGAGATGGGGTTACACCACGAACTCTTGCTTAGTGTATTTTCAGTCGAAGGAGGAAATGTCAAAAGCTCTGGAGGAAAAATCATTGGAGCTCAATTACTGGTTCGACTGGTTGAGACCAGTATCATCAGAAAGAGGTGTTCTTTTGGCTTTTTGTGAAGTGTTGTTAATCGAAGATCCTTTAAATTACTAGAATGAGGTCTTCTTCTCCAGTCTGGCCTCTAGGTGGGGGGAGTTAATAGAGATTAAGAAGGAAACATTGCTGAAGCAGAACTGCAGAGTAGCGAAGATGGTCATTCGGGTGGGAAGCCCATTTGATGTCCTAGAGACAATCTCCATTAATTCCATTGGAAGGTTGTATGTGATCAAAATTAAAGTAAATTTGTTGACTGACGAACATTCAAAGGTATGGAATGCTGAGAGCAATGCTGATTCTTCTGATGAATGGGTTGTAGAAACACCGGAGAACCAGTGCGATGTTGATGGGATTTGAAGAGAGGGGGAGCACAGGAGGTTGGAGAGATATCCAAGGAGATATATGTTTCATCTGATCAAAAGTCTCGGACATGTAGAGTGGCTGCTTCTGTTTCGAGATGTAATGAGTCTGAGGTCCCGAGACGAGAAAATTTTGTGGAGGTGGAGAAAGACAAGATGAAGATAGGCATATTGTCAATGACACAAACATTTTCAGGTATCAATAAAGAGGTTAATGAGCAGATTGGAGACAATAATAAAAACAATCAGCATGTTGGCTCAAGGGTCAATCAAGATGGACCATCACACCATGGTTTTCGAAGGAGGTTCAAATCTTTGGGTCCTCTAAGTAGTAACGTTAATTACTCAGGGGGCCTTGATGATTCGCTGTTAGAGATACGTGGTGATGAGCTAGTCTCCTCGTCAAGGGATGTTTCTAGGGGAATGGGTTTTTCACCAAACCGTGTTCGCACCTTAGAAAAAATGCAACAAATAGCAGATCCGGGGGTAAATCAATCAAAAGAGTATATAACAGAAGTAGGGGCAAGAGTAATTCAAGAGAGGTTCGGAAGGACAAAGCGAAGTCTTTAGACGTTTGTTCGGACGAGGTGGAAGAAATTCGTGCAAGTTGGGAAGTAAGCAAACTATTGGGTGTAACTTTCCGAGGAGGGAAGAAAGCGTTCATGGAAAAGGCGAATGCTTTGGTTGATGGTAGGTAGTTGGGGGTAGAATTTGAAGGTCTGGGGGAAGGTGGTATTTTATTTCTTTATTTCTATGTCGGGTTTTACTATAGTTTCATGTAATGTTAGAGGATTGGGCAGAAGAGAAAATGATAGGGATGTGAGGAACAGTATTGAAGGGAGGAAGCCATCTCTATTATTTATTCAAGAAACGAAGTTGGAGAATATCAACCATTCCTTAAGGAGGAGGTTAGGTGGGAATTTTTTAAATTATTTTTGTGGTTTCTCTGGTGATTGAGTCAGTAGGAGAATTGGTAACGCTTTGGGATGAATACAAATTGGAGGTTGAGACAAATCATGTTCAGGATAGGTTCAATGTTGTTAAAGGTAATCTCAAAGAATTGTCTATTTCATGCTAGTTTATTAATGTGTATGGACCTTCAGTTGATTCAGAGAAAGAATTATTCTTTCTCTCGTTGTTAGCTTTTGTGTTGCAACTTGAATGTCCTTTTTTTCTTGGGAGGAGATTTTAATGCATATTTGACTCAAGATGAGAAATCGGGAAGAGGTCATAATAGGTTCTCTATGAGAATTGTTAATGAGTTTGTTTAGAAGGCTAGCTTGAATGATCTTCCAATGTCGGGGGCAATTTTACTTGGAGTAATAATAGGGAAAATCCAACCTTCGTCAGACTAGATAGATTTCTAGTTGATTCGAACTTCTTATCTGCGTTTCCATGTCTCAACCAGAGTTTGCTAATGAGATCATTATCGGACAACAACTAGTTAGTTTGGAAAGTAAAGGCATGGATTGGGGGCTGAAACCTTTTAGATTGTTCAATTACGTGCTAGAGGAGGAGGGTTTAAAAGAAAGAATGATGGAGGAATTCCAACGAGTCAGGTTGGGAAGCAGAAGGAAATGGATTTATAGCATACTTAAAAGATCTAAATTTGTATTGAATGAGTGGTCTAAAGGCAGTTACAATAGAAAACAAGGATCAATTGCAGAGCTGGAGAAATTTATTCATGTTTTAGAACTGGAGATGCAACAAGGTATTACTTCTGTCTCTATAGAATCTTTGGGAATTATACAAAAAAGAGGAGGCGATGTGGTTGCAGAAATCACGAGTGAAGTGGTGCTTAGAGGGAGATCGTAACACAAGATTTTTCCACATGTGTGCAACAAACAGAGGAAGGGTGAATGTTATTAAAGAGCTGAAAGTGGGAGGTCAATTAACTTTGGATTCTGAAGATATTAAGGAGTACGTGGTTAATTTTTTCAAAGAGGCATATAATAATAACCTTGCAATTGAGGTTGAGGCCTTGGATTTTAATTTCTCTAAGATTTTAGAGGAACAAAATTCGTTTATGGAAAGACCATTTTCAGTGGAGGAAGAATGAGAAGTAATTTCATCTTCCGATAGCAGTAAGGAACCAGGTTAAGATGGATTGACAATGGGGTTCTTCAAGAAATTTTGGTCGGATAAAGGGGTAAATCATTCTTTCATTACCTTAATCCCAAAGAAGATCAGTTCGGAAAATATCGAGGACTACAAACCGATAAGCCTTGTGGGTGGATTGTACAAGATTTTGTCAAAGGTTCTTTCCAGGAGATTACGTTAATGTATAGATGTGGTTGTTGGTCCTTCCCAATTTTCTTTCATCCCAAGTCGGCAAATTATGGATTGCTCCATTATCGCAAATGAGGGGATTGACTGTTGGAGGAGAAAAGGCCTTGAAGGAGTTGCATTTAAGGTAAACTTCAAAAGAGCATATGATTCAATTAATTGGAGCTTACTATTGAAAATAATGAATTGCATGGGTTTAGGTCGAAAGTGGGGATCATGGATGATTATATGCGTTTCTACGGCTACCATCTCTGTGTTGGTGAATGGTTCTCCTTTAGATGAATTTTGGATCGCTAGGGGTATACGTCAAGGTTGCTCTTTTTCTCCGCTTCTATTTAACTTGGTTGGTGAACTATTGAGCTTGATATTGACAAAGGCTGTGAGGTTAAGCTTATTTAGAGGATTTCAGATTGAGAGTCAGGGAATTTCTTTCGAGCTATCTCATCTTCAATTCGCTGATGATCTGTTAATTTTTTGTAATGCTTCAGTTGGGGAGCTAAAGAATGTCAGGAGGGTGCTTATGATCTTTGAGTTGATGTCAGGGCTGCATATAAATCTTTCGAAGAGCAGATTATTTTGTATCAACATGAACGACGATGCAATTAGTGAGTGGGCTACATCAATAGGGTGCTCTGTGGGTTTGTTCCCAACTGATTATTTAGGTTTACCACTAGGGGCGAAGAAAAATTCAGTGTCTTTGTGGGATCCGGTTATCCAAAAGTTTTATAAAATATTGATGGCGTAGAAGTCAGCTTCACTATCCATCGCTAGAAGAATTGTGTTGATAAAGTCGATTCTTTTTTCTCTACCAATTTACTTCATGTTGATTTTCAGATTAACAAGGTGTGTTATGAAGAGACTTAATTCAATTATGGCAAGATTTCTTTGGGGGTAGTCGGGAACGGAGAATAGAATTCATTGGGTAAGTTGGGAGACTGCTTGTAAGCCTAAGGCTTTGGGAGGACTTGGGGTTCTAAATCTCGATCTAATGAATAGAGTTTTATTGGGTAAATGGACTTGGAAATTTTCCAATGAGAAAAATTCCTGGTGGAAAAGGATAATTTGTTGTAAAAATAATATTGACTTGAATTCTATGGGGGTGGAGAGTTCGAAATCTTATAAAACTTCTTGTATTTGGAATGGGATTATGAAGAATTGTTGCTCGAAAGATGAGTTTGGAGTTTGTTTGTGGAGCAATTTTTAACTTAATACAGGTAACGGGAAATCATTCAAGTTCTGGCACGATGCTTGGTTGGACGGAGTTCCAATGAAGATTTGGTTCCCTCGTTTGTTCACATTATCAAAGAATAAGGAGGGGATTGCCGATTTCATGACTGCTAACTCGACAGGCTATTTTTGGGATATTGCCATTAGAAAAAACTTAGTTGATTGGGAGATGATTCAATAGAATGAGCTTATGACTTTGTTGTATAACTTCAATCCTACGCCTTTAATTGATAATAGTCTACTATGGACAGGAGAAGGAGATGGGTGCTTTTCAGTGAAATCTTGCCTTAAAATTTTTCTTAGTAGATTTGTCGATTATTTTAAGTGGGAAAGCAACGTTTGGGCTAGTGTGGCTCCTTCTCGAGTCGAATCTTCTGTTTGGAAAGTGGTGCACAACAAGATTGTTGTTAAAGTAGAATTAATAAAACGTGGGGTGTAAGGCATAGAAGATCCTTTGTGTCCGTTCTGTGGGTCGGCTCAAGAAACTGTTTCCCACCTTTTCTTCTATTGCAATGTGTCTTAGGGATTATGGACTAGCTTTTTGCATCGTTGGGAGATTTCCTTTGCAATTCTGGATTGTCCTACATTATTTTTTTTTGTCTGGGCTGATCTTGTACCCAAATCACGGGTTTGGGAGTTTAGCCCAGGAGTCGTTTTGTGGTCGATTGTGAAAATGAGAAATGATATTGTTTTTAATAATGGGAAATTGGATTGTATTATGCTATCTTTTCTATCGAGGTACAGAGTGACAACTTAGTTTTCTACGAAGTTTCCAAATCTGATAGTTTCCTTTCATAGTCTTGTGGGGACCTTGCGTTAGCTAAACGTGCGATGTGCAATGCTAAGAGGACTTTAAAGGAAGTTACTTGGTCTCCTCCTCTACCAGGATTTGTTAAAGCGAATGTTGATGGTGTTATGGATAAGTGGTGGTCGAAGGGTGGCATTGGTGGGTTGATTAGAGATGAGAAAGGAGGGATGTTGGTATCGTTCTATGAAGGTATTGGATCCAGACCTACTATTATGGAAGAGTTGATGGCGATAAAAAGAGGCTTGAATTTGTTTTGGATTTGGGGTTATCGGTAAACAAAAGGCTTATTTTGGAATCAGATAATGTTATGGCAGTCAACTGGATAAAAATGCATTAAGTTTCACCCTGATGTTCTTATCCTTAGTAAAAGATATTGCAGCAATTGTGGTGTTAAAGGTGTCATTGTGAGTCATGTGGTGAGATCAATTAATTGGGAAACTGATAAATTCGCTAAACTAGGGATTAGTTAAGTGGAGGGGATATAATTTTGTTGTTGTCCTACTTCTAGGGAATTTTGATAGTTTAGGTTTATTATGCTTAATTGTAGTGCATCTATACGCAGTGTTTCCAAGGTCTTTTCCAGTCTTGTAATATTATTGTACTTGGTTATTATGCAATAAAATTTATAAGGCACTCTTTTCCTCCTTCCAATGTTCGTTAAGTCCTTGTTGCTTGATGGATATGAAGGGGGTTTTTAATGAGGCCTTCCTTATTATAAAAAAACATACTCAATGTTATCATACAACATACAAAAGAGTTATTAAAACACTTTATAAACTGGAGCTCCGTGACACAAAATTTAAAACAAAAATAATACATCTCAATGTTTGATAAAATAAATACATAAGTAAGGTTCTCTGAATAAGCATGCCCACCAAAGCTACAGTACAATACTCTTAAAGAGATACTGGAAGTCCTGCTATGACGGTATTCCACAAACTGCCCAAGCTACTGGCCTACCAACGGAAAACATCCGAAGGCTGAGCTTACAAAGCTCAATAGTATAATTGTTAATTTAGAGTAGCATGAGAATTTCATAAATATAAGCGTGCTAAAGATATAGTACTAAGCAGTAGGTACATGCATGATCTAGATCAAGTGCTACCTATTTAGGGCTTGGTTATTCTTATGCTGAAAAAAGAGTCTCGCGCTTCCCTTAATCCTCTGCTGAAGGTCTCTCTATGAGAACACTTCTAAAGAGTCTCTAAGCCTAATAATTGTTATTACTACGCATTATCTAAATATGATACTAACTCTACTATGCATTATCTTACTACAATATAACTCTATTGTGCAACACCCAGACATAAACACATAAGTTGAGGTAGGTATCATGGTGCGGCTGAGGGGCTACATCTCGGAGCTTACACACCTCTCTAGCCTACCTATACTACTATGCAACACAAGTTGAGGTAGGCATCATGGTGCTACTAAGGGGCTACATCTCAAAGCTCACATACCCTTCTAGCCTACCTATACATGTGTGTAATCTGGGGTGTGATTTGAAACTACATCGGAAACGTACATCCCACCAACTTACTCCGTCGAGTCTTGGGGCATCTACGGCCAACTAGCAAAAGAAGTGTCGTGGCACTAAGTAGTGTATACCTGGACAAACTAACAAACAAGATAATCGTCCTACTACTAAAGTAACTCGGGTGTCTTGGATGTTTCCCTAGTGTCACACAAAGGCTAGTTTTCGATACTTATCTCTTAAAATATTTTAAGTTATTTTTGTTCTCGTTTACTGTTTTTCCCAACTGTTTTCTCGCTTTTTCTCTTATCTATAACGAGGTGCAAAGGTTTATTAGTATGTTACTACTGATATTTATTAGGTTATTATTTTTTGGTCGTTCGATACCTAAAGGTGTTTTAGTCATTCCATGCCTCTAATGAACTCTCTACACGTTTATGGGTTTTACAACAATTTATGTATTTGCTGCTCACTGGCTTTACTATTCCTTAGCCATATACCTAACTCGGGTTTAACTCTGAGTAACAACACTCTAGTCACTCCTGCTACGTTTCCCTTAAATTCGCCCTTGAATTAGAGAGACAATTGTACATCTACCATTCGTTGACATTCCTGCAGTTCACGACTCCACTGGCGTATAATCTAACAAAATCGTCCTACTGTTTGTTGGTACATCCCCAGAATGATCCATCATTCTTAGACACTTGCTACTTGCTCGACTGAAAAAACTTGAACGTGTTATGCCTACTATGGTTATCTGGAGTGAAAATAATTTAACTATTTGATATTTGCATAATAACCCTCATTATAAATAGGCCCAAAGGCACCTTATTTTCATTTCATTTCATGCTTTCCTCTGGAAAAAAAATTTCCATTATCCCAAAACTCTTCTACTCTTCTCATTTGAACCCAACCCCGACCATATTCTCTGATGAACAATAGTCGTTGCATCGTCGTTCCGGCCACCACCCACAGTCGTCAGACACCTAAAAACTACACCACCCAAAAGCTTATCTTTCCCATGGTTTCCATTCTAAGACCCAAAATCACAAACAAGACCTCGATTATGGTTGGCTTCCACGAACAAGACTCTTTACTCCTCGAGGCAAAAAGATAAGTTCTTCTTCATCTCAGTTTTCTTTGCCCTATTTTTTATAGCTTTTTCTCGAATTTCCACTCCCTTCTCCCTTTCTTCTTTGTTAGTAGGTATTTATAGGTTCGAAGAGGGACTTTGTTTCCCTCTATGCATGGGTTTAATCCCACAATTAGTGGGATCCTCCTTTGGGTTTGGTTGTTTTGCCGATTGTTGCTATTACTTTGATTCAAAAGTGATTTCTTTCTTTGTTTATGTTGATTTGTATAGTTGGTAGCCTCTGATACTCGAGATTTCCTCTACCAAATTAGGCAAAAATCTGGAAAAGGGAAAGCTTTCCTTTTTCTAATTTGTGTGTAGCACTCACGCACGACCATTATGCTTTTGTGATGAGTTGTTGATCATTGGATGACCTTGGTCGATTCTAACAGCTCAAGTTTATGTGGGACTCGTGCTTTGTATAGTTAGAGTTTTAAAACCCTAACTTAAACCTGATCTTAGCCATTCGTTCACTCCATGATCTGATGGCTCCAATGTATGTAGTGTGCCTGCTAACTCTGTAAACCCTAGCTCCTTTGGTCAAGTGGGCTTCCTTAGTTGGCCTCTACGCCTGCTCTGCGTTTCTAGTTTTGAACTTACCCAATCTGCTGGGTTAGACAGATTGGGCCATTTGCCTTAGACCATGACTTGTTGGACCTTAAACTAGAATCTTGTACTTTCAGACTTAGACCCATAAAATAAAATAAAAATAAAATGTAAATAAATAATAATAATAAAAGTAAATAAATGAAAATAATATATATATACATTCAAAACCGTATATTATATATATTTTAAAAGTCATATGTTTTCAAAACTATATATTATATGTCTTAAAAACTTATTTGTTCTCAAAACTATATATTATATATATATATTTTTAAAAGGCTTAAATATAAAAAAGGTACGAAACGTATGCCTTTGGTTCTAATTTAGTGGCTAACATTTATTTCATTCCAGTTTGGTGCCTAACAGTTCATTCCGTAACTCAAATTGGGTTAGGTTGTGATGGACCGTTAAGTTCAGTCGTTAACCCATTAAAAATGCATTGAGGCATGTTTTTTAATATTAAAAATGATTTCTTAAAATAAGAAATTGAGTAAAATGAGAAAATGATTTATTTCCCTCTCTTCCTCTTCCTATTCCTCTCTTCCTCTTTCTCTCTTTCCCTTTCTCTTTCCCTCTCTTCACTAGTAAAGTACTGGGGAAATGCAGGTTAGTTTGCAAGAGCTAGAATAATCTCATTTGTGACCCATCGTTCGTTTCAACTCATTTCCAAGCTTGCTTTTCGATACCACCCAATAACGCTCCCTTACTACGCATCAGGTTCGCCAAAAACATGGAAAAAACTATATCTTATACTATTATAATTATGGGTTTGATGAGTTGAAGCAACTTCAATTCCCTTCCATTGATTGTATTTTGTTTTCTATAGATTTTGGTTCTTGCAATGGGTTAATTTGTCTTGGTTTTGTTTTCCTTGATGGTATTTTTTTTGTTTTCTGTAACACTTCGATTCAAAAGTATGTTTTTTGCCCCCTCCTAGCATGGGCTGCAACACTTACGCTGTAAATTTTGATTTTGGGTTTGATTCGAGAACCAATAATTACAAGATACTTATTGTTAGGTTTGACAAGGATAGTAATTTGATTCAAACTTATTTGTTTTCATTGAATGAAAATTGTTGGAAAATAGTTATTGCCATTGCTCCCAATTATGAATTTAAAGATGATACTTCAATGAGATTCATTAATGGAGTTGTTCATTGGTTATGATATCAGAAAAGAAACAATGGTGGGTTTAGTAATAGGATTTTGGGGTTTGGCTAGAGTGTTGAGGTGTTGTTTGAGATAAGGTTGCAAACTGAGAAAAGGGAAAGAGGGAAAAGATGGACTTTACTGGTGAAGAGAGGGAAAGAGAAAGGGGAAGAGAAAGAAAGAAATCATTTTTTATTTTTTTCATTTTAATTAATTTATTAATTTAAGAAAACATTTTTTAATATTAAAAAATGTCACGTGGCATTTTTAATGGGTTAACGGTCAAACTTAATGGTCAATCATGGCTTGACCCAATTTAAGTTACGGAATGAAACGTTAGGCACCAAACTGGAATGAAATAAATGTTAAGTACTAAACTAGAACCAAAGGCTTATGTTGGGCACCTTTTGTATATTTAAGTCTTTTAAAAACTCTATGTTTTCAAAAAAAATATTATGTATGTATATGTGTATATATATATATATTATTTTTTTTTTTTCAAAACTATACATGTTTTGAAAACTATGTGTGGTTCAAAACCACAAATATTTTCAAAACTGTATTTTTAAAAAATATATAATTCATAATGGACCAGGACAAAAATTTGTGTCTACAACTGAGGCAACCCCTTTACTTTCGAAATTATGTTTGTTTTTTTTAAAACATACTCAATGGTATCTACAACATACAAAAGAGTTATTAAAAAATTTTATAAATCGGAGCTCCGTGACACATAATTTAAAATAAAATAATATATCTCAAAGTTTGATAAAATAAATACATAAGTTAGGTTCTCTGAATACATATGCTCACTAAAGCTACAATATAGTCTCTGAAAGAGACGTTGGAAGTCTTGTTGTGACAGTGTTCCATCTGAAATTGATTATGAGAAATGTCAATCTTTCAAT